TAGAGCTAGGCAAAGTAACGAATTCAAGTTCATTCTGCTGTCAAACAAATTAATGTACACTGAACGAACATTTTATACCTAGACAATATTAGAATACCCGTGTTCATATTTTAAACCGTGATTTTATATTTCGTTCATTTAATTATAATTCCGTGACATAATAAATATATTGTATATACATTTGAGTACAAATATAATAATATATATTATAAAGCGGTATTTGTGATTGATTGATTGATAAACATAAAGGTAGTGTAAAATACTTTGACGTGTTTAATTTTTAGTTATATTTATTTTATTTAGAAAGAACTATAAATATTTAACTTCAAATAATGCAAAAAATAATTATTGCTTAATTTTACCCTTTACATTTCACTCTGCAATAAGGCAAAAGCTTAGAACAATAGTTGATTCATATTTACTGTCTGTCACATATAAAGCATTTCGAAGAAGAAATTATCTAACAAGAAGATAATTCTTAAAAGAACTCGAGAAGTAGACTTCTGTTAAATAAATGTAAGATTACATTCATAGACAAAACCATAACACGAATATATTATATTCATATCCATTTGTATTGATGACAGTTGAAAAGGATTAATAATTTAAACATACACTCCTGTAAAACGTTACAAGAGCATAAATGCAATGCACTCACTAAATCATACTCCATGCTCCAACTGTCATCAATTAATGCCTTCACTTGTATTTCTAATGAAATGAATTATCATATTTAACAATTCATTTAAACTAACCAACTGTTTTTGTTTATGCCTATAGAAACATACTCAGTGCACAACTATCTCAAATGTCGGAAGCTGCTAATGATCCAATAATTAAAATTGAACCACAAGAATATCCAATCGAAGACATTAAAATGAAATTGAGGAAGACCCTGAATCGTGTTCAGAGGATGACAAAACATGTCTAAGCAGATTTATGAACTCCATAGTGAAAATAGAAGAAAATGTCGAACAGGAATTAATTCAGACTGCTCCTTATAAATGTGACAAGTGTCATAGAACATTTAGAAAGTTGCATTATTTAGAACAGCATATGGTAAATTATTGTCATAAGGATACATATTGTTCAGAGTCTTTTTCAGATGCAAGTGCATTAGAAATACATATAAAATCTCATACAGGTGAAAAATATTTCACATGTACAAAGTGCAGTAAAGCATTTACTGAAAAATATCATTTAGATCAACATATTTGTGCTCGAGCCAGAGGAAAAATTTTACATTTGAATGAACATGGTAATCGAAAACGAAATATTCACGATAATACTGCAAAGGGACCAGGTGAACGTCCCCATATTTGCCAAGTTTGTGATAAGACATTCACACAATTGAATAACTTGAATCGACATATGCTGATTCACACTGGTGAACGTCCCCATATTTGTGAAATTTGTGACAAGACATTCACACAATTGTGTAATTTGAATCGACATATGCTAATTCACACCGGTGAACGTTCTCATATTTGCCAAATATGTGATAAGGCATTCACAGAAATGGGTACCTTGAAAAAACATATGCTAGTTCACACTGGTGAATGTCCCCATATTTGCAAAATATGTAAAAAGGCATTCAAACATTTGAATTCCTTGAATGAACATATACTTATTCACACTAAAGAACGTCCCCATATTTGCCAAATCTGTGATAAGTCATTCACACGATTGCGTACCTTGAATAGACATATGCTAATTCATACTGGTGAACGGCCACATATTTGCGAAATTTGTGACAAGACATTCACACAATCGAGTAGCTTGAGTAGACATATGCTCATTCATACTGGTGAACGTCCCCATATTTGCCAAATATGTGATATGGCATTCGCACGATTGAGTGCCTTGAAATTGCATATGATAATTCACACTGGGGTACGTCCTCATAAATGTAAAGTCTGTGGTAAGACATTTACACGATCAAGTAACTTGAATAGACATATGCTCATTCACACTGGAGAATGCCCCTACAAATGCAGAAACTGTGATAAGGTATTCAAACAATCAAACACCTTGAAAATGCACATGGTTGCTCATACCAATGAGTAATTAGTATTTAGAAAATTAGTCAAAAGGTTACTTATTACTGCTTATAGAAATTAATGATAATTAGATATAGATATATGATTATATTAGATATTAGATATATGAATTAATTACATTATTATATATTTATATATCATATCAAATAAACAGTATTATCAATGACTCGTTTAAATATTTTGTTAATAATGTTCTATATCCATCCCAGGTTTAATAAGGCTTGCAATTGAGCCATAATTGTTAGTAGAATCTTCTCAAAAAGGTGACTTTAACTTCCCTTATGGTTAGTTATTGTAATCATCCAAAAGTCGAAATTGAAACATTGAATAGTTGCATATCTTCATATTTTGAAGATTTCTGAACATTTTGGCATACCTTGGAAAAAATGGATGTGTGCGTATGTGTATGTATGTATGGATACCAATTTCCAGTCACGTTTTCGGGCGCACGGATCAACCGATTTGAATGATTCAAAAAACATTCGATTCCTATTGATAGGGAGATGTACTGATTAGTTCTTGGCAAAGGCAGGACTAGCTGTTACGGAGATATAAAGAAAAGAGTGCAGAAAATTCAAATAAAGTTTTTGAGAGAACGGAGTATTCGATTTGAATGATCTAAAAAACATTCTATTTGTAATGTTTTTGTAAAGGAGAAGTAGTGATTTGTTTTTGGCAAAAGCAGGTCCAGGCATTTAAGGTGTCAATACCATAGGTAGGTTATGAGACAACTTTAGGATGCCAATATAGAAGTATTTACAGACTTACAGCTGGGTATCTCGAATTTCGAGGTGAACTTGCTATAATAATGTATTTGTATACAAAGTCAAAAAATGAACAATAAAATAATGTCAATAATAATGTAATATAGTGATCGTACATGAACTTGTATGTTGTAGAAGAGCTGCTGATTTTTCAAACTTTGATGAATTGGGATTTTGAAAAAAATTGCTTTTATATGTTTTAAAACATTATTATTAATTTTATTGATATGTAAAGTCACCAGTGGTGTATGGCATCGTGCCTCAAGGCAAATTGCTGAAACTTCCCGTACCGTAATGAAATATTCAGAGAATATTAAATGTTTTCCAATAGATTATTATAAATATTAAAACTTTTATTATTAGTATTTTATAGACAAATAAGAGCTTATGAATTGAACGAAAGGTAAATAGAAAAAAATAAAGTGGAGTTAATATGAAGGATCTTATTTTATATATATAAACTGAATAGCAAAGTTAAAATTATGTATTTGAAGTATATAAAAAAGTTTCAGAATTTTAGCTAGAATTAAAATCAAAAACATTTTTGATTTTGAAAAAAAATAAAAGAAAATATTTTTTTTGTTGTACTAAACTTAAATGATTCTTCACAAGCAAAATGTTTTTCAACTTGTTTTGAATCAGATGTTTTGTTCTCTCAAATTCTGCCATTTTTTGCACATTTTGCTCGGTATCTCTGAAACTGCTGGGCCTGTCTTTGACAAAAACGAATCACCACTTCTCCCCATCATTAAAAAATTTGAATAATTTAATTCGTATGCTCTGTTCTCTCAAAAACTTAATTTGCATTTTCTGCACTCTTTGGTTCGTATCTTCAATACGGCGGGACCGAACTTTGCCAAAAACTAATCAGCACATCTCCCTATTAATAGGAATTGAATGTTTTTTGAACCATTCAAATCGGTTGATCCGTGCGCCCAAAAAACGTGAACTAAAAATGCGGACATACAAAACACACAAAATGTTCAGAAACCTGTAAAACGTAATGATATGCAAAAATTACCCTTCGCGAAGTTAAAAAAACAGACAAAAAAAAATTCAGTTAAATATAAACTTCAATTAAATATATAAACCAAGGTTGCAGTACTACCCTTTTTAATTGGTGAGCAGGATTTATCTACTCCAATTGATAAAAGTTTATATTGACCAGGCACACTACAATATTCAGGACGTACGACTTTTAAAATCCATTGGTGTTTGTGCTCCAACAATGACTTTTTGATGGGATTTTACATTTAAAGATTCACTTAGTAATTTTAGATGAATCTTTGGACAATATGGGAACTGGTAATCCTCTCATACCGTCAAATATGTTGAAGTTGATTCTGCACCTTTAAATGTAAAACCCCATTAAAAAGTCATTGTTGAAACACAAACACCGCCCAATAGACTTTTTAAGTAAATCTTTGGGTATTGGTAATCCTCTGATACCGTATCAGTCAACTCTGTTGAATTTGATTCTGAATTTTTGATGAGGTTTTACATTTAAAGGTGCAGAATCAACTTCAAAATGTTCAACAGAGTTGACTGATATCGTATCAGAGGACTACCAATTCCCATATTGTCCAAAGATTCATCTAAAATTACTAGGTAAGTAAACTTCAACAGAGTTTACTGATAGGATATCAGAGGATTACCAATTACCAAAGATTCACTTAAAATTTCTATCGGTTGGTGTTTGTGTTCCAATAATGACTTTTTGAAAGGGTTTTACATTTAAAGGAGCAGAATCAACCTCAACATGTTCAACAGAGTTGACTGATATGGTATCAGAGGATTACCAATTCCCATATTGTCCAAGGATTCACCTAAAATTTTTTTTGAAACGATTTTTTTTCCCAAAAACAATTATTTTGTTAAAACAAGCAGAAAGTTCTTTGAATAATTCAAATCGGACGCTTAGTCTCAAAAACCGCCATTTTTTGCACATTTAGCTCGGTATCTTCGAAATGGCTGGATTGCCTTTGCCAAAAACTAATCACCTCCTTTTCCAATCATTACAAATTTTTTAGATCATTGAAATCGGATACGCCGTTCTCTTGAAAACTTTATTTGAATTTTCTGCACTCTTTGTATCACCGTAACGGCTGGACCTGCTTTTGTCAAAAACTAATCAGCACGTCTCCCTATCAATAAGAATCGAATTGAAAGAATCAAAATGTGAACGAAAAAATGCGGATAAACAAAACACGCGCACACATACATCCTTTTTTTCTGAGGTATGCCAAAATTTTCAGAAATCTTCAAACGTGAAGATAAGCAAACATTTTCAATTTCCATTTTTGGAAGATTACAATAAATTCTTTTTAAGGGCGCATGATTTGATGCTTCTTCTAAACGGTTATTCGGATTTTGATAATTATTTCTAGAGTTTGTCAAAGGAATTTTTATGATTTAATGAACGATAAACTATATAATAATATTGAAGAAATAAATGGTAAAAATTACGAAAATCTACCTATCATTGATTGACATTGAAAACATTTAGACTTTAATCTACTAGAAATGTCAATTCACTCGAAATTTGACTTTAGCTGAAATTATGAGCCTAGATAATATTAGAATGTACTATACAAGAAAAATATAAAATGGGAAGTTAAAATCACTCTTTAAATATACTCTTCCTTTATCTACGGTTCAGATATACTCTTCTTTTATCTATGGCATATGCGTATATCATACGTAGCATCATGAAGTTAACTTCAGTTTAAAGCGCAATATTTAAATTGTAAACAATAACTTAAACTAAAACCAGTTGTAAGTGGCAAGTTGCCTAAACTTTCCGAAATGTGTGTGCAATAATAAATCAATATTTATTATTGCACACACACATACATATTTTTTTTAATGTATGCCAAAATATTCAGATCTTGAAACATTTTCATTTTCAATTTTTTTACTATTACTATAACTTACCCTATGGGACCAAGTACTCTATCGTTATACCAAGTAAATCGTCCAATTTTAATTTTAACAAATGTCAAAAAAAACTACTGATTTTCTCAAACTTTGATGAATTTTTAAAATTAAACGACTTGCCATAAGGCCGTAATATTTCAGTAAGTTCTATAAGACCATGATATATATCGCCAAAAAAAGTTTCATAAAAATCAGCTTAAATTTTTTTTTTCAACAGTTAATTACAAGAAAACGGCTCGGTAGATTTTCACCTAAAACTAATCAGTATCATTTCCAACTAATATCTTTCGAACAGTTTTCGATTTTTTAAAATCGGTTGGGTAGTATAAGCTTGAATGTGGACGAAAAGTTTAACACTTCTTTCCAAATTACAAAGAAACGGCTTGGCAGATCATCGCACAAAACTGACAAACGATAGTCCTCATTGAGATATTAATCAAATATAAATTATACATTAAATGGCTTTTAATTTTTTTAAATCGGTTCAGGCGTTTTTGAGAAAACGTCGATGAAAGGTCTAATTTTGACCAATGCCAGAAAAACGATATTAATTTTTGCAAACTTTGAAGAATTTTAAAAATTAAACGACTTGCCGTAATATTTTAGTATGGTCTATAAGACTATGGTATCTGGCGTCAAAAAAAAAATCATAAAAATCGTCGAAAAAAATTGTTTAACACTTTATTACAAGAAAACGGCCCGGCCGATCTTTACCATCACTAATCAGCACGATTCCCAACCAATATCTTTCGAACAGTTTTTGAATTTTCAAAATCGATTGAGAATTGTGGGCTAACACGTGGACAAAATTTTTTCACTTTTCTGCGATTTACAAAGAATAGGTTTGGCTGATCGTCGCGCAAAAACGTTTGATAAACTCTAGTCCTCAACGAGATACATCGAATGGCTTTTAAATTTTAGAAATCGGCCCAGCTGTTTTCGAGAAAACGTCGATTTACGGCAAAAAATCTGTTCACATACACACACACACATACTTTTTCCAAATTTGGTCTCATTCGATTCAGAATGGCTTGAAACGTTGAGAAAAAATAAAATTAGCAAATCGGATTTTTTGATGAAAACATAAACTTCTCCTTCGGAAAGTTAATAATCTTAAATAAGTTTTTTAAACATTTGTATATTACAAGAATAATACATTTGCGTATATTAAAGTAAAATTTATTACATTTGTATTCGATGTGAAAACAATTTCCTCAGTATCAACATTGTAATTGATCATCATAAAGGGGCGCGAGTATCTAAATCGGTAAATTGTTAATAATAACTTTCCGTTTTCCGAATATATCACAATTATATAAAAGAACAGGATCCAGTATAAATTATTTCATGACGATTTAATATAAATTTTATTGGGTACATGTCTTACATTTATAAGGTCGTTCTTCAGTACTATTTCATCCCTGTGTTTGATTTGTACTGAAACCAACATCATGCTCATCAAACGGTTCCTGCTTTATTTGTTCATCTATCGTTATCTCAGTTTCTAAAAACTGCTGCAGACATATTTCTTCTTTGTCCGCACATATTTCTGTTATTTCATAATCATCTAATTCTTGTTTGATTTGAGGATATCCAATTAGCTCCATTTCAGTTGTTGTTTTTGATTTTCCATATATTTTAGACAATCCTTGGTTAGGGTCCTACAAAAATACAATTTGCTGTAATTAGAAATATAATTTATGGATAATAGTTGAATAATATAAATTTTTTTATTATATATAATATATATATATATATACAAGGTAGCCCGAGAAACGTTGTCCTGTACCCACATCTATAATTCAAAAGCTCCAAATTTTTTAAAATCCTATCCTATACTTTTTAATATCCTATTTGATGTTCTGCCTTTGTGATTCATTTATGGTCTTAGCATAAGCAGTATAAAAAATTCAGAAAAAATAATATAGTATCTGCGGTAAAAGAACAATATCACACTTGATTTTACCAGCCAACATGATTGCTTCAATAATTTAGTCCATAATTTTCATAATCTTGTACAATATATAAGTTGCTTTTTGGCAATTATAATTTCTGAAGTACATTTTTCTTATTAATAATTTAATAAACATTATTGTTTACGTTCAAATCTTAGATGAATTAATTTGTAAAATCTAGTTCACATGTGCACTCTTCAATCTAAGATCAACTTGCTAAATATTCCATATCCAATGCTAAACGAATGAATTTTTGACACATGAAACAAAATTCTAAATCATTTTTTTAATAAGTAGAAATATTTTTTCGTATTGTTAAATAATTTATAAGTTTAAAAAAATAATGCATATGCAATTTATTGCATTATTTATTAAACTGAATTATATAATTTCATCTGCCAACATATACTGTTGACTGTATCTTATAATATTTCAATTGCTGGCACATCTCAGCTGCTTTTCGGCAATAACAATGTACACATTACATTTTTCTTGTATATTACATTCTAATATTATCTAGGCTCATAATTTCAGCTAAAGTCAAATTTCGAGTGAATTGACATTTCTGGAAGATTAAAGTTTAAATGTTTTCAATGTCAAACAATGATAGGTAAATTTTCGTAATTTTTACCATTTATTTCTACAATATTATTATAGTTCATTATTCATTAAATCATAAAAATTCCTTTGACAAACTCTAGAAAGAATTATTAAAATCCGAAGAACCGTTTAGGAGAAGCATAAAATCATACGCCTTTACAAAAGTATTTTATATATAAGATGTATATATATACATATACATATATATATATACATATATATATATATATATATAAACACACACACATCCTTACAGTGTTCAAGTGGTTGCATGTGTGCGTGTGACTTAGAATCAGTTCATTACAAACAGCCGATCTCATAACATCGAGAGAATAATATTGTTTGGTTTTCAAATAATAATTTAAAAAAAGACAGAACTTATAGTAATTTTGATTCACAAAATTCGGCATATATATATATATATATATATATATATTTAAATTTGCATCATTACCCTTTTGTGTTGATTCGTCATTTTCTTTCTAATAAAATTATGTTTTTTTCCTGGTTTTCTTTTGCGGGTGAGAAAGTCCAAATTTGACTGGGGCCTGCCTGAAATATCAAAAAGGGCATAAGGACACATTATAATTTTTTATGGCTCTTACAATTATTATATATTTTATATTCTCTTATATGTCATGGTTCTCATTGATGCAGTTCAACAACAATAAGACACATGATACAGGAAATCTAAGTGCAAGTGGCATTTTGCCTTGACAAATAATCGACTTAATTAATAATGATTGAGACAAAAAGATAAAATGTTCAACTTTTTATCAATTAAACATATAAACAAGCAAGGAATAATGTTATGATAACAGAATCTTCGATGATGCAGTTATCATAAGATTTTTTCTTGCTTGTTTATATGTAAAATACGCCTGAACGTACAGCAAACAGATAGACATTTTCACAGCGTTCACTGCCAATAAACAAGCATAAGATAGCGTTGCCATGACAACGTTATGTTATGAAATCTGTTACGGCAGAATTGCCCCATTAATGAAGCAAAGTTAGAATGAAGAATCTTATCTCTTATAAACTGAATTGCAAGGTTAAAATTATGTATTTGAATTATATAAAAGAGTTTTAAAATTCTAGCTAGAAATAAAATTAAAATCCGAATCATTTTTGACTTAAAAAAATGGAAATTAAATTTTTTTCCCAATTTTGGAAATATTTTTTTTGCTTGAAACTTGAATGTTTCGTCACAAGCAAGATGTTTTTTGAATCATTCGAATCGGATGCTTTGTTCTCTCAAAAACTGCCATTTTTTGTACATTTAGCCTTGTATCTTCGAAATGGCTGGTCCTGTCTTTGTCAAAAACTAATCACCACTTCTCCCCGTCATTACAAATTGAATGTTTTTTAGATCATTCAAATCGGATGCTCCATTCTCTCAAAAACTCGATTTTTATTTTCTGCACTCTTTGCTTCATATCTCCGAAACTGCTGGACAGACTTTTGCCAAAAACTAATCAGCACGTCTTCATATCAGTTGATCCGTGCTCCCGAAAACGTGGACGAAAAATTGTATCCATACACACACATCAATTTTTTCTAAGGTATGCCAAAATGTTCAGAAACCTCTGAAACGTAAAGATATTCAAAAATATTCGTTTTCAATTTTTGGACGATTACTATAACTTACCCTACGGGTAGTTATAAAACAAAAAAATTTTTTTTCGATTAATTATAAACTTCAGTTAAATATAAAAAATCATGTGACTGTGGATGCACCACGATTGGCTGTTGGCTACCAAATTTGTGACGTCATAATGCTCATAAATAACTTATAGCATTACTAAAGTAATAGGATTACTAAAGTAATGTAAATATTATAATAAATTAGCATTACTAAAGTAATTTCATAACCGTCCAGTACTTTCGGCTATTATAAGTTGACACAAACTTTCTACATTTACTATTACAAAACACTTTGTTAAAGATATGTGTGAATCAGAATTTATAAAAGCAAATTCTGGTAACATTCCTGATGTTGATATATTTATTATCATCAATATTAAAAAATTGATCTGCGATTTAGTTCTGCAAATGTTGTATTTTTATCAAAGATAATTTTATATTGGTGATATGGATATTAGACATAATACTTATCTTCAGATGTTACAACATCACATTCCAATATAATGTTGGAACGTCCAATCAATTTCAACATATTCAATAGAGTCGACTGATACGGTATCAGAGGATTACCAATTCCCATATTGTCCAAAAATTTACCTAAAATTTGGTATTTGTGTTTGAACAATGACTTTTTGATGGGCTTTTACATTTAAAGGAGCAGAATCAACTTCAACATATTTGACAGAGTTGACTGATACGGTGTCAGAGGATTACCAATTCCCATATTGTCCAAAGATTCACCTAAAATTTGTAAGTGACTCTTTGGACAATATGGGAATTGGTGATCCTCTGATATCGTATCAGTCAACTCGGTTGAACATGTTGAAGTTGATTTTGTTCCTTTAAATGTAAAACCCCAAATCAACTTTAACAGAGTTGACTGATACAGTATCAGAAGATTACCAATTCCAATATTGTCCAAAGGTTCACCTAAAATCGGTTGGTGTTTGTGTTCCAACAATGACTGGGGGGGGTTTACATTTAAAGGAGCAGAATCTACTTCAACAGAGTAGACTGATGCAGTATCAGAGTATTACCTATTACCAATTACCATATTGTCCAAAGATTCACCTAAAATTTCTATCGGTTGGTGTATGTGTTTCAACATAGACATTTTGATTTAAAGGAGTTGAATCAGCTTCAACAGAGTGGAATAATACAGTAAGGGAGGATTACCAACTCCCACATTGTCCAAAAATTGACCCAAAATTTAGTATTTGTGTTCCAATAATGGCCTGTGGGTTTTGCATTTAAAGAAAAAAAAATCAACTTCAACAGAATTGACTGATACGGTATCAGAGGATTACCAATTGTCCTAAAATTTCTATTGGTTGGTGTTTGTGTTCCAACAATGACTTTTTGATGAGCTTTAACATTTAAAGGAGCAGAATCAACTCCAACAGAATTGACTGATACGGTATCAGAGGATTGCCAATTGTCCTAAAATTTCTATTGGTTGGTGATTGTGTTCCAGCAATGACTTTTTGAAAGCCTTTAACATTTAAAGGAGCAGAATCAACTCCAACAGAGTTGACTAATACAGTAAGGGAGGATTACCAACTCCCACATTATTCAAAAACTGACCTAAAATGTGGTATTTGTGTTCCAATAATGGCCTGTGGGTTTTGCATTTAAAGAAAAAAAATCAACTTCAACAGAATTGTCTGATACGGTATCAGGGGATTACCAATTGTCCTAAAATTTCTATTGGTTGGTGTTTGTGTCCCAACAATGACTTTTTGATGGGCTTTAACATTTAAAGGAGCTGAATCAACTCCTACAGAATTGACTGATACGGTATCAGAGGATTACCAATTGTCCTAAAATTTCTATTGGTTGGTGTTTGTGTTCCAACAATGACTTTTTGATGAGCTTTAACATTTAAAGGAGCAGAATCAACTCCAACAGAATTGACTGATACGGTATCAGAGGATTGCCAATTGTCCTAAAATTTCTATTGGTTGGTGATTGTGTTCCAGCAATGACTTTTTGAAAGCCTTTAACATTTAAAGGAGCAGAATCAACTCCAACAGAGTTGACTAATACAGTAAGGGAGGATTACCAACTCCCACATTATTCAAAAACTGACCTAAAATGTGGTATTTGTGTTCCAATAATGGCCTGTGGGTTTTGCATTTAAAGAAAAAAAATCAACTTCAACAGAATTGTCTGATACGGTATCAGGGGATTACCAATTGTCCTAAAATTTCTAGCGGTTGGTGTTTGTGTCCCAACAATGACTTTTTGATGGGCTTTAACATTTAAAGGAGCTGAATCAACTCCTACAGAATTGACTGATACGATATCAGAGGATTGCCCATTCTCCTAAAATTTCTATCGGTTGGTGTTTGTGTTCCAACTATGACTTTTTGATGGGATTTTACAATTAAAGGAGCAGAATCAACTTCAACAGAATTGACTGATACAGTATCAGAGGATTGCCAATTGTCCTAAAATTTCTATTGGTTGGCGTTCGTGTTCCAACAATGACTTTTTGATGGGCTTTAACATTTAACGGAGCGGAATCAACACCAACAGAATTGACTGATACGGTATCAGAGGATTTCCAATTGTTCTAAAATTTCTATTGGTTGGCGTTCGTGTTCCAACAATGACTGGAGGGTTTTACATTTAAAGAAGCAAAATCAACTTCAACAAAATTGACAGTATCAGAGTATCTGTTCCAACAATGACTGGAGGGTTTTGCATTTAAAGAAGCAAAATCAACTTCAACAGAATTGACAGTATCAGAGGATGTGTTCCAACAATAACTTTTTGATGGGATTTTACATTGAAAGAAGCAGAATCAACTACAACAGAGTTGACTGATACAGTGAGGATTACCAATATTATCAGAAGATTCACTTAAAATGTCTTGAATCATTTGTTGTCTCTGTCTTTTTTCTGAAGCTGGTCTAGGTATCGTTGAAGTCCCTTGTCTTTTACGATGAGGTTGACATTCGAATTTGTGTGGTACCACATCAATTTTAATCCTGGCTTTACCTCCCATCGTTGTGTAATACATATAATTTTCCATATCATCTTTTAACTAGAAAAAGGACATATCGTATGGATTATTTAATGAGAAAACAAAACCAAAAAATTTACTTTAGAAATATTAATATAGTTCAATGGATAACAGAAAATATTACAAAATTACAAAAAAGTGAATCCTAAACGTTATAAAAATTCGCCTGAAAAAAGTTTTATAAAATCAGATTTTTTTTGATAAAATCTTTTTTAGTGAAAAAGTGTTAGTGTATAATAATCAATACATATAATTTTCCATATACGTTATAAAATTACAAAAAGTGAATGCCAAACGGTATAAAAATATCAAAGTGAATCCTCAGACAAAAATTTATGATTTTTTTTTTTAAAAGCTGTGATTTTGGAGGTTATGTTATGAAACCCAGTCAAAAAAACTAAATTAACAGAACTCTTTCGAGCCATCTACTTTGAACTTTTACATAAAATATAATTATTAACAATACGATTACAATACTTACATCAAAATGATCTTCACAACAAGTAAAAGTCGATTTTGTTTTAGGATTTTCTCGGAGCACTGCTTGGAACCACTTTTTTCGACGTTTCTCGTCATTAGGAACATTTAAAAACATTTTTTCAGGAGTTCTCTTTGTTGTATTTGTGCATAATGGTACAAAACAAGTGCGATAACTTTTGATTTTTGACATTTTTTTATATTTCTGAGTATTTAACAACGAGAGAATGAAAGCTCAAAGCTCAAAGCTGTAAACTACAATGGATGACACTTAGCATTATGACGTCACAAGGATTTGTTCGGATTTGTTCGGAAGTTGTCGGCGCGTCTTCGGTACTGGGTTCAAAAATTAATTTGTATTTTGATATAACTTTTTAATTATTGCGAAAAATAAAAAAAAAGTTCTGTTACGAAAAACATATATGATCTTTCCACTTAAAAAAATCGAATTCATATAATTTGTAAAATTAAGCATATTGTCATATTTTATTAACTTCCCGTAAGGTGAGTTATAGTAATCGCAAAATAATCGAAAATGATAATTTTTACATATATTTACGTTTCCAAACCTACTGAACATTTTGGCATACCTCAGAAAAATGTATCTATGTATGTGTGTGTGTGTGTTCGGATACAATTTTTCGTCGACGATTTCGAGAACACGGTTCAACCGATTTGAATAATTCAAAAAACATTCGATTCCTTTTGATAGGGAGACGTGCTGATTAGTTTTTGGACAATGCAGGTCTAGCCGTTTCAAAAATACGGGGCAAAAAGTGCCGAAAATGGTATTTCAGTGTTCAAGAGAACGGAGCGTCCGATTTGAATGATTCGAGAAATATTTTACTTGTATTGACAAAATAAAGAACTGATTGAATTTTTGCCAAGGCAGGTCCAGCAGTTTCGAAGATCGAGTAAAAAAAGTAAAAAGTAATGCCATTTGGCAGTCGAAAATGATAATGATTTTAAAGTTCTTCATATTATCAATACAAGTAAAATGCTTTTTGAATTATTAATTATTCTCTTAAAAACTGAGTTACCGTTTTTAGCACTTTATGCCCCGTATCTCTGAAACTGCTAGACCTGCCTCATCACATCTCCTTATTAATACAAATCTAATGCTTTATGAATTATTTAAATCGGTAGATCAGAGTTCCCAAAATCCTCGATGAGAATTTGTATCCGCGCACACACACACACATTTTTGCATTTCTTCACGTTTCAGAGGTTTCTAAACATTTTGGCATACCTTAGAAAAAATGTGTTTGTGTATTTGTTTGGATATAATTTTTTGTCCACGCAATGCATAATTTAAGAAACATTCGATTTGTATTGATAAGGAGACGTGATGATTAGTTTTTGGCAAAGGCTTGTCTAGTCGTTTCGAAGATGCGGGGCAAAAAGTGCCAAAAACGGTAACTCAGTTTTTGAGAGAACGGAGCGTCCGGTTTGAATGATTCAAAAAATATTTTACTAGTCTTGAATTTGTAAATATTTTGTAGAACTTCCAACAAAGATAGACATATTTAATATATTAAACAATATTTAAGAAAAGAAGAAAATGGTGAATTATTTATATAAAATGAATAAAATTATAAAGGAAATAACATTACAGAAATATGACAATATAATCAAAATGAAAATAGTAAAAATAAGGCGTTTGTTTTTTATAAATTTTTATTTCTTTGTTCAGAGCTCCACAATATATATATATATATATATATATATATATATATATATATATATACTAGCCGGCCCGACAGACTTCGTCCTGTCAAAAAAAATTGTAATGTGGCGGTGTTTTGTGCCTACCTTTTTTCTATTCTTTGCAAAAAATTATTCTGAACAGAACCGTCACCCTGGTAATAATTCGGTGTGAATTAAAAATAATTAAATAAAACACTATAAGCATTTAAAAGTAAGTAATTTTAATAATGTAAATCATAATTCAAAAATCAGTTCAATTTTCATTGTAGTGCTTTTTGTTTGATTACCTGGCGCATAGACAAACAAATCTGATGGTTTACCAATACGGGAGCAAACAACATACAATTTTCCATGTGAGAAACATGGGTTTTCTAAATTAATACCACAAACACTTAATGATACCATAAACGCACTGGAAACGCATTGGGATGCATGGTGCGAGAACATCTTCTGCTTTATACTATACTTTGAATATAGTTGGTCGATATTTCGCAACATTATAATTGCCGATCCAACCTTTAATTGGAGATTGTGAGGTGACAATCCTAGCAAATCCAGCGAGTTTAAAAACTCCGGTGGATCGTCTTGGTTAGTTGCCGAATCAACTGATTCGCCTGTAATTTGTTCTTGAATTTTGAAATTTAATTAATTTACATCAAAGTTTTTGGCTGCCAATATAGCTTGATCAATAGAAAGATATTTCTATGTTTATATAAATATATTCAAAATTAGATTATCAAAAACTACACAAAATGTCATGACATAGATCATTGTTTTTTTTACAAATTGCGTTGCCTACTCGATTAAAGAAGAAAAGGTCTGTTTTTAGGGTTTTCCCGGCAATTATTCGTTTTTTTCTCTCCGTAACAACCATCCTTGGACTTCAACGAACATTTTAAAAAAAGAACTGGCCAAATTGGTCCAGGCGTTGTTGAGTTATGCGCTTACCAACACATTTTGCGATCCATTTTTATATATAAGAAGATATATATATATATATATATATATATATATATATTGAAAATTTTTTGTTCAACGTTGAAACATATTGAATTGAATAAAACAGCGAATGCGTCGAATGTAGACATGTTTATTTTAAATTTTTATATGTTTCGAGACTAGATGCGCCTCATCATTCAGTTAAAAAAATTTACAATATAAGTAAGCAAGCAGAACTGCGTTTATTCAGACAATTTGAATTAAAAAAAGATAAAACAAGATTTGAAAAATCTTCTAACGTCCACATTTTTTTCTTTATATAAATTATAGGATGGTCAGTATTAAAAGAGTGTTTGAAGTTAATAATGTGCTCAGAAAGCATTGTTTTAAATTGTTTCGGATTTTTTAGAAGTTATAAATATGCTGATTCATTCTCCTGCTGATGTACTGGGAACTTTCAAAGTAACATGTGATATTTCCTGGTCTGGTATGTATAGAATAATTTTCCTAATTGTTATATTTTTAATTCTAAAACTTTTTGAGACATATCTAGTCTTGAAATGTATAAAAATTTAATATAAACATTTCTACATTCAACTCATTGAGTGTTTTATTCAATTCAACATATATATATATATATATATATATATATATATATATATATTTCTCATTTCACTGCTTGGCATGAATTACACAAATTCATCTATTCAATTAACATGAAATGTATAAAAATGAACAATTAACATGTAAGTTTATGATTAAAATTAATGTACAATTATTTTTTTACCGTGTCGTGGTACTTCTCTCCCCACTTTTTTCTGTAGCTGTAGTAGATCAGCCTTCATCTTCTGCACTTGTTCATCATCATCATCAAACTCAATATTAGGTATATCAAACTCAGTATTAGGTATACAACGAACTCTACCTCTATCTTCCCTTTGCTCATTTAAAAATTGCATTATAGATTCATCGACCATTTGTGCCACATTCAAATGAGCAATGTCGAACAAATTTAACAATGAAATTTTAAATTCGACCTCTCTAATTTCATTTGTGTCTCTGTTTACGCTTTTTTGAAGCAAATGATATTGCTTATGTAACTTCAACAAGTGATGTATACAATGATCTATTCTTTGAATTGGTATCTGAGCTTTTTGCCAAAATACTATGACTTGATCTATGCAAATTTGAGCACTTTCACGTATTTTTAATTTGGGGACACGTAAGTGGTAAAAAAACACTTTTAGCACTTGTAATTTAGATGGTAATGTATCAGTGATAATTTGAGGGTAAACATCACCGATTAAATAAATATTTTGCTGCAAAATTGAGCTTGATTCCATGGTAAATGATACACATGGATTTAATTAGAGGCAAAGTCCTAGACAATATTAGAATATGATATATTCACATCCTGATCTACATTATTATTTATCTTTCTTTATTTATATTATTATTTTGAGTTCACAAATGCTAACGATATGCCCCAACAATTTACTTAATAACACTTGATAATATTAGTAGATACATAATGATTAAACTTTCAACTCGATTAACTCTTAAATAAATGGATTTAATGAATGTTTACGTTTTTTATAAAACCTTTTTTGTAGAGCGTCTAATTGTCACTTTTAATTCATTTGTCGCTGAGTTATATCTAAAAAAACAAATGAAAGGTTATTTAAGTTATAAAGCTATAAAGGTTATAGGGAAACAAAGGTTATTTCCATACAAAACTTGAATTGCGGACTATCTAAAAGTTAATATTAAGAGCTAAAACTTTTAGAGACTTTTTTTGTATCAATTTGGAAGCATTTGAGCCCCTGGGAGCAAGGAAATTCGAAATTGTTCATATTTACTAATAACGAATATAGGTTAAAGTCATATACTCTTCTTTTATCTATGGTTAAAGTATTGCATTAAACACTAAATATAAATAATAACTTGAATTTACTTTATGTTAATTCTTTAATTTAATATCACTCATTTAAAATATAAACATCAAATTCAAACATTCAGAAGAAAAAAAATTATAAATTTTGACACATTGCGACGAGCACTTGACATCTGACACGAAGTTATATTCATACGAAACGAAATATGTGCATCATGAAGTTAACTTCAGTTTAAAGCGCAATATTTAAATCTCAAACGACTTCACGTTTCAGCTAAAAATTCTGAATCGATTTTAAAAATTCAAAAACTATTTAAAAGCTATTATTTGTGAGTCGTGCTGATTATTTTTACAAAGATCAGCCAAGCCGTTTCTTCATAATTAACTGTTGAAAAAAAAAGATGAGACTTCTTATGTTATCATTTATCTATGTTCAAAACCTCCTGAACATTTTGGCATACCTTAAAAAAAGAAATATGTATGTATATGCAATAATTAAAATATTATTGATTAAATCGATTATTTACACATTTCGGAAAGTTTATGCAACTTTCCACAAGGCAAAATGCAAATTACGACTGGTTTTAGTTTAAGTTCTTGTTTGAAATTTAAATATTGCACTTTAAACTGAAGTTCAGAGTAAACGAAGAGATAAAAAAGTATATTTTCAACTAATTGAAAGTGGAATTATGCCTTAAGGCAAGTTTTATCAACTTCCCAAAATGTATTATAATTGATCAACCGAAATTTAGATTTATATATATATATACTTAAGTAAACAAAATGGTTTAACATCTTTATACTTGAAACCATAGATAAATAAGCTTGAAACCATCTTGAAACCATGTTTACTTATCTATGCTTGAAACATAAAAATATGCACAAAATTTCATTTTAGATTTTTTGCTTTAGATTTTGATTTAGATTACTATAACCATACGGAAAGTTAAATATGCTAACATCACTGATATTTTAATATTAGTATGATCTAGAAGACTATGGTATCTACCGTCAAAAAAAATCATGAAAATCGTCAAAAAAATTTTTTTAACACTTTATCACAAGAAAACAGCTCGGACGATATTTACCAAAAACTAATCAGCACGATTTCCAACCAATATCTTTCGAACAGTTTTTAGATTTTCAAAATTTATTTGGAATTGCGGGCTAAAACGTGGACGAATTTTTTTTCAATTTTCTGCGATTTACAAAGAAACGGCTCGGCCGATCGTCACACAAAACTGAGAAACGCTAGTCCTCATCGAATGGCTTTCAAATTTTTTAAATCGATCCAACCGTTTTTGAGAAAACATCGATTTACGGCAAAAAATCTGTTCACACACACGCACACATATACTTTTTCCAAATTTGGTCTCATTCGATTCAGAATGGCTTGAAACGTCGAGAAAACATAAAATTAGCGAATCGGATTTTTTTATGAAAACAAACTTCTCCTTCCAGAGTTAATAAAATTTATAACCTGTAAATCTTATAATATAAAAGAATATATATTTATATAAATTTATTCATAGTACTAAATATTTGTACAGCAGTAATTAAATTTACATTGCAAATAAAATATAAGTAATTCACAGATATTTCACACGCAGGGTTTGTTTCTGCTTGTTAATGTTTCATTGATCTTCATCACATTTTCTACTATGAACTTTCACTTTGTGTCTCTTCAAGTTGCACGATTGTGTAAATTCCTTGTTGCATGTATCACATTTAAAAGGATGGTCTTTGGTATGAGTGGCCATGTGTGATTTCAGAATAAATTTTTGTGAAAATCTCTGATTACATATTCCACACTGGAAAGGGCGTTCTCCTGTATGAATAAGCATGTGCTTTGTCAAGACGCCAGAGTGTGAGAATGTTTTACTGCAAATTTGACATTTAAACGGGCGTTCTCCTGTATGAATACGCATGTGCCTTTTCAAGTCACCCGATTGTGAGTATGTTTTACTACATAAATGACATTTGAAACGACGCTCTTTGGTATGAGTGATCATGTGTGATTTCAGATTACATTTTCGTAGAAATGTGTGATTGCATATATCACATTTGAAACGACGCTCTTTGGTATGAGTGACCATGTGTGATTTCAGATTATATTTTAGTGAGAATGTCTGATTACACATTTCACATTTGAAAGGACGGTCTTTGGTATGAGTGACCATGTGTGATTTCAGACAAAATTTTCGTAGGAATGTCTTATTGCATAATTCACATTTGAAAGGGCGGTTTCCCACATGAATAAGCAAATGTCTTCTCAAAGTGCTTTTTTCTTTGAATGTCTTACCACAGATTTTGCATTCGAAAGGGCGTTCTGTGTTATGAGTGATCATGTCATGTTGCAATTGTGATGAATATTTAAATGTCTTATCACTTGCATTGCATTTATTGTTACCCTTTTTGTCATTTATAGGTGTGTGGTCAACCATGTGCTCTTTCAAATAATTAGATTCTGAAAATGATCTATTACAAATGTCAAATTCATAACCCGGTGTCTCAATTACCTCCTGTTTGATTTCTCCTTCAATAGTTACTTCGGAATTCATAAATCTTTCCAGACAAGTTTCATTATCTTCTAAACATGATTCAGACTTGACAATACCTTCAAGATCATCAAATTCATTTTCAAGTTTAATGTCTTCCATTGAATATTCTGGGGGTTCAAGTTTAATTGTCTGATCATTCACAGACATAATCGTTGCTTCAGACATTTCCAGATATTTTCACTGTGTATATTCAATAAATATTGGTTAATACTATTTAATAATCTATTTTTTTTTTCAAATATCTCAAATAATATAATGAATCTAACTATAGTAACATTTGTTGTGGAAAATCTTTCAGCTGTTTAAAATGGGATTACTTCTTTGCATGGTTAGTCGTTCGGATTTAAAGTTGACATTTTGAGCATAGAGTATGTTTTGATAAAGATGCATTCGGAAGGATTAGTTAGAGGTCATATTGGGTGCATTCGACTTGGACGCTTACGCGCTGTGAGCGCTCACGCTTATAAGCACGAATTTTTAGCGTTCGACTTGGCCGATAAGCGCTTAGAATCGATAAATAAATTCCGTTCGTTTTGGAAACTGTGAGCGTCAATAAGCATCAAAATGGCGGCAACTGGCGGTAACGGTAATTGTGTAAATTTTATTACTTTCTGGATCATTCAGCGGGATTATAAAGAATTTAACAATTAATAAATAAATGAAATTTGGTTTGCTTATGCTTAATTCATATTAATATTAAAATTAAAATTTAAAATTATTTAAAATTAATTAAATTAATTAATATTAATATTAATATTAAAAAATAAATGTGATATACAACTTGGCATTTTTGCGGGATTATAAAGAATTTAACAATTAATGAATAAATGAAATTTGGTTAGCTTATGCTTAATTAATAGTAATATTAAAATTAAAATTTAAAATTAATTGAATTTAAAATTAATAAATATTAATATTAATATTAAAAAATAAATGTGATATACAACTTGGCATTTTTGCGGGATTATAAAGAATTTAACAATTAATAAATAAATGAAATTTGGTTAGCTTATGCTTAATTAATAGTAATATTAAAATTGAAATTTAAAATTAATTAAATTTAAAATTAATTAATATCAATATTAATATTAAAAAATAATTGTGATCTACAGCTTGCCATTTTTGCGGAATTATAAAGAATTTGACAATTAATAAACAAATGAAATGACAGATAGTAAAAACAACTGACGCTCACGCTCACGCTGCCCTACCTCTGTGGCGTGAGCATATGTGAGCGCAAAATATGTGCTACGAGCATCCTACGATGGTGCTACGAGCGTACTTATGTGACACTCACAGCGCCAAGTCGAACGATGAAAGCGCGCTCACGGCGCGCTCACAGCGCGTAAGCGTCCAAGTCGAATGCACCCATTGTAGTCGCATATTTGGCGCTAGTGAGCATATTGTCAAATGTTTTATTTTTTTTTTTTTTTATTATTTTAATAATTTTTACAACTGTCCTGAAACGGACAACAAGTAAAATTTTTGACATGAAACTGAAGGCGTTGGCAAAATACAAATCATCTGACCATTGCCAGTGAATTGTCGAAGATCTTATCTATTGTTGATTAATGCAGATGAAATTTTCTTTTTAATCGGGCCCTGGTAGGGTTGTTCTGAAGTTTTCTCGCGAGCAAGTTTGGGTGTTCAGCTAGGCGATTTCTATATTTGTGTGAGTAAGCGATTATTTCATCCTTAACTGTGCTAGTGCCTGTGTCTTTGTGTATTAACCAATTTGGAACATATTTTGGTGCTTTTAAAATTTCTTTTAATAACTTGTTTTGAAATCTTTGAATTATTAAAGCGTTTGAGTTGGAAGTTGATCCCCATAGCTGTATGCCGTATGTCCAAATTGGTTTAATGATGGCTTTATAGAGGTAAATTTTATTATGAGTGCCAAGTTTTGATTTTCGTCCAAGGAGCCAATGATATCTTCTTCTGGTTTCTTCTAGCTGCTTTCTCTTTTTCTTAATGTGTTCTTTCCAGGTTAGTCTCTTATCCAGGTGTAAACTTAGATAAATGTTTTATGTTGATTACTAAAAACGTTAGTGTTATTTTTGTGTCAATTGACAAATTGTGATTATTCTGTTCTGTTTGTGTTTGTACATTTGTTAATAAAGATTTCCCGTAGGGTAAGTCAAGTTATAGTAACCGCAAACAAATCAAAAATGAAAATTTTTGAATATCTTTACGTTTCTAAAGTTTTTGAACATTTTGGCATATATTACAAAAAAACCAATGTATGTGGGTGTATGGGAGTATGTGTATTTGTGTATGTGTGTGTGTGCGGATACAAATTTTCGTTGACTATTTCGGGAACACCGAACAACCGATTTGAATAATTCAAAAAATATTCGATTCGTATTGATAAGGAGACGTGCTGATTAGTTTTTGGCAAAAGCAGACTGAGCCGTTTTGAAGATACGGAGCAAAAAGAACTAAAAATATAACCTAGTTTTTAAGAGAACGGAGCGTCCGATTTTAATAATTCAAAAAACATTTTACTTGTATTGACAAGATGAACAACTTATTAAATTTTTGGGAAGACAGGTTCAGCGGCTATGGACTCTTAATAAAAATAAGTTAAAAAAATTTCGTGGTCAAAAATGTTTATTGGACATATGTACATCAAATTATTAGATATTTTATAGAGATTTTAATAATGTGTACACATTTTGTGCGAATGGGTTCCGTACCAAATTTACCTTGAGGGACGATGCCATGCACCCCACTAGTTAAGAATTGCTATCAAAGGCATAGTTTTTTAACGAAATGAATAGAACAGCTTCAAATTCAGATAAGGACATAATTACTGCCATATACTCTTCTTTTATCTATGGGCCGATTGTCGCACAAAACTAAGAAACAATAATTCTCATAGGGATACATCAAACGGCTTTTAAATTTCTGAAATCGGTTTAGGCGTTTTTGAGCAAACATCGATGAATGGTCTAATTTTGACAAATGCCAAAAAAACGATATAAATTTTTGCAAACTTTGACGAATTTTTGAGGTTAAACGAGTTGTCGTAGGGCCGTAATATTTTAGTATTGATAAGGAGACGTGATGATTAGTTTTTGGCAAAGGCAGGTCTAGTCGTTCCGAAGATACGGGACAAAAAGTGCCAAAAACGGTAACTCAGTTTTTGAAGAAACGGAGCATCCGGTTTGAATGATTCAAAAAATATTTTACTAGTTTGAACAAAGAATCCAAAAATTAATAAAGAAACAAAAAAGTTTTCTAAAAAACCATTTCTTTATTTATTTACAGTCGACGTTTCGGAACTAGATACGTTCCATCTTCAGGACATGTGTCAAGAAATATGATCTTGATCATTTAAACTTTAAACAAACAATATATTTAAGAAAAGCAGAAGATGATGAAATAAAATTGTGGAAAAAATAATGTATAGAAATGTCACAATATAATCAAAATGAAAGTAATAAAAAAATAAGTGGATTATATAACAAAATATTAGAAATGTTAGAAAATTTGAGAGTTTTTTTTAAGAAAAAAGTTAAGAAAAAACAATTAATTACCTGTATGATTGATTATACATTAACACTTTTTCACTAAAAAAGATTTTATCAGAAAAAGTAATTTTATAAATTTCTTTTTAAACAAAAAAACTAATTTTGTAATTCAAAACTTCTTTAAATTATGTCTTTTTTGAGTTTGTTATGTGAGACAAAAAGTACTATTCCCTTGATATTATGAGACGAGTTCTGTTTTCTCAGTAAGCATTTCTTAAAATTTCTAATTTTTTACATTTTAAAAATTTTATTTTAACCCTTTATCACAAGAAAACGGTCGGGCCGAACCAATATTTTTTGAACGGTTTTTGAATTATCAAGATAGATTCAGAATTACGGGCTAAAACGTGAACGAAAATTTTTTCACTTTTCTGCATTCACAAAGAAACGGCTTGGCTGATCGTCGCGCAAAATTCATAAACGCCAGTCCTCGTTGATATACATCAAATGGCTTTTAAATTTTTGAAATCGGAAACACACACACACACATACATTATTTTTCCAAATTTGGTCTCATTCCCTTCAGAATGGCTTGAAACGTCGAGAAAACATAAAATTAGCAAATCGGATTTTTTGATAAAAACATAAACTTCTCCTTCGGGAAATTGAAAAATGAAAATTTTTTTTCACAAAAGCAATTGTTTTGTCAACACAAGCAGAAAGTATTTTGAATCATTCAATTCTGATGCTTATTTCTCTCAAAAAACTGTCATTTTTTGTATACTTAGCTATGTATCTTCGATATGGCTGGACCTGCCTTTGCCAAAAACTAATAAACACTTCTCCCAATCATTACAAATTGAATGTTTTTTAGACCATTCAAATCGGATGCTCCCTCTCAAAAACTCGATTTTTATTTTCTGCCTTCTTTGTTCTTTATCTCCGTAACGGCTGGACCTGCCTTTGCCAAAAACTAATCAGCACATCTCCCTATCAATAGGAATCGAATGGTTTTTGAACCATTCAAATCAGTTGATCCGTGCGCCTTGAAACGTGACCGAAAAATTGTATCCATACATACATACACACACATCCATTTTTTCTGAGGTATTCCAAAATGTTCAGAAACCTTCAAAACGTCGAGAAATGTAAAAATTTTCAATTTCGATTTTTGGACGATTACAATCATAGATAAATAAGCATAAATGATTATAATAACTTACCCAACGGTAAGTTAAAAAATGCAGAAATGTTGAGAAATGCCGAGAAATGCAAAAATTTTCATTTTCGATTTTCAGCCCATTACTATAACTACCCCATAGATAAGTAAACAAGAACTACCCTACGGGAAGTTAATAAGCCAAGGTTGGATCACTGTTGTTAACTTGACTGAAGTGAAGTATGATTAAGAAGATATATATCTAAGTGTTGCAATATAAATTAAATTAAATGCATTTCAAGTAATATCCCAATTAATAAAATGATAAAAAAATATAACTGTCTCAACATTTTATCATTTCCAAAAAAAATCATCGAACATTTTTAACAGGGCATTCTTAACAATTTCTTCAATAAAATTTATAATAAAGCCGTGAAAAATATTATTAAATCTTCCTGCGCTTGCGAAACATTCAACTTTTGATATAAAACTTTCTTATCAATGTCGGAAAATGGGATATTAATAGATTTATT